ATATAAAATGGCAATAAGTAAATTTAAAAATATGAACTTGAAAAAGTATCTTCCTATGGATTAATTATAATTTGGCAACGTAAATTTTAATTGTCCAGGATATCAAACAAAGAAATTATAAATAGTTTTTATTAATATAGAGCAAATTGAAAATACGAAAATTACTTATTTTTTAAATTTCAGCATTTGTTAAAGTTTAACAATAAAAAAGATTAATAATAAAAAGTGTTTAACATCGTCGTCTGCATATGTTAATTTATGGCAACTAAGAAAGGCCATTAAGAAAGATAGAAAAGAGAAACGGGCCCATATTAGAACCCTGGGGCACTCCCAAGGTAATAAAGTAACGGCTGGATTTAAATCCATTGTAAGTGACACTATTCAGGCGGTTTAACAAATATGACTTAAAAAACTTTTGTAAAAGTATAGTCTGGTGTACTTATTCGGTCAAAGGTCCTCGAAAAGTCGGTGGATATTACATTCGACTGACCAAGATGATCAACGATATTCGAAAACTTTTATCTGACAAGGATAAAAACTATCTCTAGGAAAGTCTAGCAAAGAAAGTAAAGTGATTACAAATATTTCAAGAATTAGAGTAAAGTAACAAGAGGCTTAAATCGTATTGAAAATCATTCGGTGCGATGTAGAAAAAATGCAAAGTCTAGTTATTAACGGGTTAATAGTTACTTTACTCGCATGCATAAGTTTTTCGTGTTAGAAATTTATTGTCATGTATTTGCTAACAAATAATCTAGACAAAATTGAAGTGAATTATTCTTTATAACATGTTGTAACGTTAATTTATAGAATTATAATTTATATCAGTTGTTACGATTGACTTCAATATAGACAACATTATACACATTATAGCAGTTTATAGATCACCATCAACAGATCCCTTTGAATTTAATCACAATCTTCAGAACTATCTTCATACAATGAATATAATATCTAATAAACACTATGTAATAATAGGTGACATAAACGTTGATATAATTGAAAATAGTGATTGTGCTGTAGAGTATACCAACATATTGAATGAATTTGGTTTTATATCCACAATAAACAGACCTACAAGGGTACTAGGAAATCAAAAATCGTGTATTGATCACATTTTTATTAAACCTAAAATATTTACTATTTAGATCAAATGTTACCTATTATTGTAGAAACTAATATAACTGATCACTATACAGTAATGTTGCAAATTATGTTTAATAATAAAAAAATTAAAAATGATACATCTCATTACAGTACCACAATAGATAATAATAAATTATGTACGAAATTAACTAATATGTGTTGGGATCCTGTATTTACTGCTAGGATCGTAGAGTCTGCAACAAGTACATTTGTAAATATTATTAAACAAGCAGTACAAGATTGTACTAATTTAAAAAAAAAATAAAAAGAAAACTGCATAAAAAATCACAGTGGATAACAAATGCACTACTAAAATCGATTAATACAAAAAACCACATGTTCAAAAAATTAAAAAACAATTCAAATAATGCTAATTTAAAAAAAGAGTACATTGATTATAAAAATAAGTTAACAAACCTGATAAAAAAGTCAAAACAAAATTATTATCAAAATTTAATTAATAAAAACAAAAACAATACAAAGAGGTTGTGGAATGTAATTCAAGACTTAACAAAATCAAATCTTAAATTTAATAAAATATCGTCTCTAAAAAATGTTGATGGTGATATTATAACTGAGTTAAAAGAAATTTGTAATGAATTTAATACAACTTTTGCAAACACAGGAAAGTATTTAGCACAAAAAATACAACAAAAAAATGATTAAATATAGGAACGTAACAATAGAAAAATCATTAGTTTTGTTGCCTACCGATGCATATGAGGTAAATGATATTATATGTCAATTAAAAGACAATAAATCACCGGGGTTGGATCACATTAGAGATGAAATGCTAAAACCTATTGTCTGTTATTTACTGGAGCCACTTGTATTTACCTTTAACTTAATGTAAACAGACAGGATCTTGGCCATCAAAGATTCTTTGATTGTTCCTATATTTAAAAAAGGTGATGTCACGACGGCTTGTAATTATAGACCAGTTTCATTAATAACTAATTTTACGAAAATATTCGAAAAATTATTAAAAGTTAGATTAGTCTCTTTCCTTAATAAAAATAAGTTACTTAATATAAAACAAAACGGTTTTAGACAAAATATATCAACTGAAGATGCTATGATAGACTTAATAAATAATGTGTTCTCGGCATTAGATAAAAGTACACCTTGTTTAAGTACTTTTATAGATTTATCAAAAGCATTTGACACTGTCAGCCATCCGCTACTGTTACAGTCACTGGAAAATATTGGTGTACGTGGAATATGTTTAGAATTTTTTCAAAATTATTTATCAAACAGACATCAATGTGTAAGAGTAGGGAATGTCTACGGTGATAAACTAATCATAGAATAGGGTGTATCCCAAGGCACAGTATTAGGACCTATTCTATTCTCAATATACATAAATGATTTGTTTTCATTGCCAATAAGAGGAGACATTATTGGATTTGCTGATGACACAGCAATATTTCATAAAGCTGAATCATGGGTTGAATTAAAACAGTTAGTGCAAACGGATTTGCTTTACCTTAAAAATTGGTTTGACTATAAATTATTAACCCTTAACTTGGAAAAAACAACATACTTACCTTTTAGTTGTAACAAATCAAACCTTCCAAATTTTGACTCCATAGATTTACAAATTCAAGGAAAACCTTACAGTATTCTTCCAAAAACAAATGTAAAATATTTGGGAGTATTTATTGATTGCCATTTACGTTGGCATGTACATATAAACTATGTAATAAAAAAGTTACAGATACTCTTATACAAAATTAGATATATATGTAAGATATTAGGCAAAACTCAGTTAAATATTGTTTACCATGCATTAGTGGAAAGCCATATATGTTATGGGGTCTTAACGTGGGGCGCTGCTGTAAAAAGCTGTATAAAGCCTCTGGAAATCATACAAAAACGATTTCTCAAACTAATGTTGAATAAAAATCCCACTTATCCCAGTGATTAGTTGTATAGCGAATCAAAATTGTTTGACATTAAACAGCTATTCTATTATAAACGCGCTTTAAAATTCCATTTAGCTGGTAAGCAATATGGCGAGAATAAATCCTTTTATAATACTGGAGGGAAGAATTTATACAAACCGCCCTTTATGGCAAAAAATATTGGTCAAAGATCGTATGCTTATTTGGCTATAAAATTAAATAACACATTACCTGATATCTTGAAAATTACTAAGTCATCAAATCATACTATAAAAAGAAAATTAAAACTATATATATTAGAAACTCCCAGACAACTAATTCACAGCTTTATAGAAACCAGCAATAATTAAATGAGGATATTTTATGTGTGTATGTGTGTATATGCGTGTATGTATGTATGTATGTATGTATGT